ATACCTGAGCTGCGGTTCAGAAGCTGGCTGCGGTCAGAAATACACTTTTGGGCTGCGGTCCACCGTTTGGTTGCGATCAAACATTTTACATGAGCTGCAGTTCATATTCCTGGCTGCAGTCAGAGGTTCACTTTTGGGTTGCGGTCCACTGTTTGGTTGCGATCAAACATTATGATGAGCTGCGGTCCATCGGTTGGTTGCGATCGACCCCTTCGTGTTGCGATACGAGGCAGGGTACTGCGAGGCCTTGTTAGCGCTATATGCGCTGACCCTCATGTATGGGCATGCGATTGGTCCTGTGGCGCCACCAAAGTATCCTTATGTGATAAGATATGAATTGAATGATGATATGAACGATGTGAAGTGATCGGTGACTCTAAGATATAGGCTAGTGTCTTTATATGCTTGATTATAATTGTTAAATATGCTTATCTCTATTTGTTGAGTCTATTCATGGTTTTTAAAGCTAGAGTCTCCTAAGTATATACCTTCCTGCTTCAAAATGGTTTTCGTATATATATATATATATATATATATATATATATATATATATATATATATATATATATATATATATATATATATATATACTTAAATTGTATTCCAACGCGTTGGAGTGGGTTACCAGCATCATTCGCTGAACAGATATATTTGGCTTTCAGGCACAGATGATTAGCTACCGGAGCGCGCTAGAGGACCTCGACTTAGATAGTTAGTCTTTCCTTTCGGCATGCGCGCCTTGATGATGCAATGACAATGTTTAAAGGACAGTTAGTTAGAATAGCCTGTGCATCTGAGTTCTCCAGCTCAGATGTGGCATAACACCCCAGACCTTATGTTTAGAATACCCCATTTGGGATTTATTTAATGGAATTGCTTTCATATTATAAGATTGAAAAGTTTTAAAATTTTCGGGCTTTACATGCGCAGTTAGTGCAACGGTTCTCTTGAGACCCGCCGCCCAGCCCATGGCCTAGGCCTGTAGATTTCTCGCGGGTCCGTCAGTTGTGTTTTGCGGGTTTTCGATACTCGTAGGGCTCGGGTACTAGTTCTAAAGTGCTATGTGGCACGTCTTACGTGTACACAATTATTTTCCTCAATTAAAGCATAACTTACCTATGTGTTGGTTATGAGACTTTGCATATGATCCACATTGTTTTTTACTAAATTTTATATCCCACATGCCTATCATGTATCCCATATTTTCTCAAACTTCGTATAGGCGAAGTATGCCACTTGTATGTTTGATGTGAGGAAAATCTTTATATCTTGGAGGAGGTGCTTGATCTTTGGTTACTTGAAAAGACTGCTGAAATGAGATCCGGGTGAGAATTCTCGGAAGGTTATTTGAATTGTTGTGATGAAATGAGATCCGGTTGAGAATTCCCGGAAGTGTGTGTTAAAGTGTTGTGATGAGATCTGGTTGAGAATTCCCGGAAGTGTGTGTTAACGTGTTGTGATGAGATCCGATTGAGAATTGCTGAAAGTGTGTGTTAAATTGTTGTGATGAGATCCGGTTGAAAATTCCCGGAAGTGTGTGTTAAAGTGTTGTGATGAGATCCGGTTGAGAATTCTTGGAAGTGTGTGTTAAAGTGTTGTGATGAGATTCGGTTGAAAATTCCAAGAATGTTACTTGAAAAGAGTATGTAATATTGAATTTATGCCTAGCACTAGTTTCACCATGTGTTCCATTAGTTCATAATTTATTGTTAAGTTGTCATACCACTCGATTTCCAACACTATGCATAACGTGATATTTTACCTCTTTACTTGGTTTTGGTTTCTCCTTTGATGGCATGTCACTCTACTTATTCCTTGATCCATTAAGCCAAACTTGACTTCATATCTTGTTAGTGTGTAGTAAGTATGTATATTTGAGTTTGAATTGCATAAGTGTTTGTATATGAATTACACTTGCATGTGACCGTAATGCCTATAAATAAGTATTAGTATTATAGATGTATATTTAAATACATGTGAACCTATTTGTCCTCTATCTATGATCTTGATTGGCTTCACGTGTCTCACAAATCAAAACATACAAATTACGCCTACTCTCTCTTGCACAACCTTTCAAACCAACAACCAACTCACTGCAAAACAACAAGCTTCAAGAATCAAATTAGCTTGGCACATAAGGCTCATTCTCAAGCCAATAATCAAGCACCAAGAATTTAAAGTATATGAGGATCAAGTGCGCACAGGTACTCAGTTGAGATTATGCAAGACACGGCTCATGAATGAGATCCCATAGGCTTGCCCTTCATACTCCCCTAGATCAAATCTAAGAATGCATGCTAAGATCAACTTGGACTTTATTTAGCTTGTAATGGGGCTACGGGTGATGGCTAAAAAAAAAGTGGTATGGAAAAATTAATCAAAAAGAGAGAATGTCACAATTATCTATCTTTTCAAAATTTAGAAGAGATGAGACAATTACAATTTCAAGGAGCAAATTTCTTTTAAGAACTTAGCAACTCTTTGGTAAAGTGGGAGTCCAAACTCAAAAACTTTTAATCTTTTTTTTTTATTTCTTTTCTTTTCTCTTATTTTCTTTGGATATCTTTTGAATATAGCAAGACAATTTTAATCCAAACTTTCATGACCCCCACACTTGAACATTTGTAACATCAGTGGCTTTTTGGCACAACTCCATAAAAACTCTTCTTACAGAAATAATAAAGATATAACTTCCATTCTCTCAAGGGTGGAAGGGAAAATATTTGGTCAAGGGCTAAGGGTTATAAATTGGGGTAAATCAAAGAAAAACAATCACAATGAGCGAATAAGTGCTTAGCACTTATTAAACAAACAAAAGGCACAATGGGGACACAAAGGATAAAAACATATGTAGGGACAGGTTTAAAGGCTATGCCTAAACAAAAATGGCCTAAATCACTTCAAAAATGCAAAACTTAGACTTCATTTACGGAGTAATGAGGCAAGTTCTAGCAAAACACCCATGACCGGAATCTCACATAAGCATTCACTAGCAATGCATAACACACAAGATCAAGAATTAACCCAATTATTAAGTGGTTTACAAAGCTATTGGCAAGGGAATAGGTCAATTATGTGTTACACCTCAAATCATTAATCACAAATTGAGATGCAGCAAGTACCACTAAAACCAACCACAAACCAACAAGCGAGAGTAATTGTAACTGCATGCTGAGACAAGTGACATTTTCACCAAAAATAGCAGAAAAGAGTGTTGGAGCCCACATTAGGGCAGGCCTCACATTTTAAACTTCAGTTTCTCAAAGTGTTGGAGCCCACAATTCAAATAAATAAAGAGATGATTTGTGACAGTTGCCACTTTGCTAAGCAGAAAAGAGTTCATTTTCAACATAGTACATCTTTGTCTGCTAACTGTTTTGATTTGTTACATGTGGATATATGGGGTCCTTACAGAGTTGCTACAATACATGGACACCATTATTTCCTTACAATATTGGATGATCACAGCAGGGCAGTGTGGATATACTTGATGAGGATGAAATCTGAAGTTAGGGGTTTGATCACAGGGTTCTGTAACATGGTTGAAACTCAATTTGAGTCTAGGGTGAAATGCATCAGGTCAGACAATGGGATGGAGTTCAATATGGTTGATTTTTTCTCTCAAAAGGGAATCATACATCAGACCTCATGTGCCTATACACCTCAACAAAATAGCAGAGTTGAGATAAAGCATGGCCATCTTCTTGCAACTGCAAGAGCCATCAGGTTTCAAGCCAATTTACCAGAAGAACTATGGGGTGGATGTGTGTTGCATGCTGCTTACATAATAAATAGATTGCCATCTGCCGCCATAAACAATCAAATTCCTTATCAAGTACTACTTAAAAGGGCTCCACAGTATCAACACTTGAAGATATTTGGCTGTCTAGCTTATGCCACAACTGTTGGCCCTAAGTCAAAGTTAGATGCAAGGGCCAGAAAATGCATATTTCTTGGCTATGCCAATGGGATAAAGGGGTTTAAGGTCTATGATTTCATGGCCAAAGACCTTTTCATATCCAGAGATGTAGTTTTTTATGAACACATTTTCCCTTTTCAGCAGCCTAGCAAGATAGGAAAGGACAATACTCAGCTTATACTGCCCACTATGGGATCTTTTCCTATGAGTGATGCCATACAAGAAGATGCTCAGGGTAAAAAAACATGACTTTTGTGGAGAGACATGTCACTCTCCTATGAGTGATGCCACTGAGCTCAACAGAGAACCCAGACACAGTCCAGCCAGTGGCAGCAATGATGAGCAGACTGAACCTCACAGTTCAGATGAGAATGCTAACTGTTCACCTGGTGTTGTCTAACCGCATCCAGAGGTCACCAGAAGGTCAACAAGACAGAGAAATGCTCCCACCTATCTTCATGACTATGTTTGTCACAATACAGCTTTAAAGACATCTCCTCATCCTATTTGCAAGGTTATGGATTATAGCAGGCTTGCCATACCTTTCCAGTCTTTTGTGATGAATATTACTTCCCAATTTGAGCCTAAAAATTATAAGGAAGCTGCTATGCATGAGTGTTGGAGACAAGCAATGCAGGAGGAAATCAAGGCTTTACAGAAAAACAACACATGGACTTTGGTGGAATTGCCCCCTTCCAAGAAGCGAATTGGCTGCAAGTCGGTATACAAAATCAAGTACAAAGCTGATGGCAACATAGAAAGATACAAGGCAAGGCTTGTGGCAAAAGGCTACAATCAAACCCTTGGCATTGACTACTTGGACACTTTCAGTCCAGTAGCCAAAATGACCACAGTTAGAACCTTATTTGCTATAGCAGCAGCAAAAGATTGGCATGTTCATCAGATGGATGTCAATAATGCCTTTTTGCATGGAGATTTAAATGAAGAAGTATATATGCAACTACCACCTGGCAATCCAGTGACAGATACAAGGTTGATTTGCAAGTTAAACAAATCCCTCTATGGCTTGAAACAGGCCAGCAGACAATGGAACACAAAGCTAAGCTTGGCTTTGTAGAAGATGGGGTTCAGACAGTCCATACCTGACAATTCTCTGTTCACCAAGGGAGAAGGCCATTCTTATGTGGCAATGTTGGTCTATGTTGATGATATTGTTGTTGCAGGACCAGACCTCAGCCTTATTCAAGAGGTAAAACAGAAGCTTAATGCAAATTTCCAGACAAAGGATTTAGGTCCTCTGAAATACTTCCTGGGCTTGGAAGTAGCTAGCCAGGAAAAGGGCATTGTAGTCAGTCAAAGGAAGTATGCCATTGAGCTACTTCAAGATACAGGTTTCCTTAAATCAAAGCCAGTATATAGCCCTACAGTACAATCCCACAAATTAAGCAAAGATGAAGGAGACATCATTGAAGACAATACTCAGTACAGAAGGATAGTTGGCAAGCTTTTATAGTTGACCATCACAAGGCCTGACATAAGCTTTGCCACTCAACAACTATCCCAGTTCCTTGATAAACCCACTCATCTTCACTTACAAGCTGATGAAAGGGTGCTAAGATATATAAAGGCTGCTCCTGGACAAGGACTATTTTTCCCTTCATCTTCTGACTTACAACTGAAAGCCTTCTCAGATTCTGATTATTGGGGTGCATGCATTGATACAAGGAAGTCTGTCACAGGTTTATGCACTTTTCTTGGAAATGCATTGATATCCTGGAAATCCAAGAAGCAGCCTACCATTTCTAAGTCATCCTCCGAAGCTGAGCATAGGGCCTTGGCCGCTACAACATGTGAAATCCAGTGGATATCATACTTGTTAGCAGAATTTGGAGTAAAGCTAACTGATTCTGTGGCTATCTATTGTGATAGCAAATCTGCAATTGCCATTGCAGAGAACCCTATCTTTCATGAATGCACTAAACATATAGTGTGACACCCCGAAATCCAAATTCATTTAACAGAATAATTAAGTAATTAATACTAATTCAATTGGTGAATTAATTCCTAAAATCCTGAAAATTCAATACTTGGGGACTAATAATTGACTAGTCAACCCCAAAGTCAAAGTTGTACCTAGAGCTTTGTAAGGAGTTCCCTTGTTCCTTACACTTCCTAATGTTAGTAAGGGCATTCTTGACCTTTCACATGGTGTTAGTTTTGTAACCTAACCTAGTAGACCATCTTCATTCTATCCTTACACTTTTCTCAAAATCTTGCTCCACCTTCTCTCTAAAAAAGTGAGTAGCTTTTCTTCCAAGCCAAGTTGGATCCTTGCCAAGACTTCAAGAGTTGCTTCCAAGATTCAAACTTTCTTATATTTGGGCATCTAGGAGGGTATGATCTAAGTTCATCTTGTGGTTTTGGTTTCATCTTAGGTGTCTTTTCTTAAAGGTAGGATCTTTATGATCTTTTGGTTTGTTCTTGAAGTGGGTTTGGAAGGTGAGCCTTGAGAAGAGCTTATTAAGGTGTAAAGTGAAGTCTTTAGTCTACAAGAGGTAACCCATGCTCTACAAAATCTATTTTTCTTACCTATATGTGATTTCTTGGATTCTACATGTGTTTTGCTATGAAATGTGAGTGTTTATGCATTGTCTTGTGAAAATGCATATCTTGAGCTTGTCTTTAGGGTTCATTTATGCCATTGCTTGGCTATTCCATTGATTCAAGTTATTTTTTTGTATTTTGTGAGATTTGGCATGTTTTGGACTTGAATTTGAGTTTGGAGAAGAAAATCCCTGAAGGGATTATTTTGTACAGGTATATGTACCCGCGGGCGGAACGATGGGTAGAGCTCCAACCCCCCGCCCACCCGCGGGGAACGTAGGCCGGTGGGTAGTGTACCCGCGGGCGGAACCACGGGTAGGAGCCTACCCGTGGGTCCACCCGCGGGGAACACTTCGGTGTTGTGATGGGATTTGTTCCCCATGATTCTTTTGACTCGGTATTTGGTGTTTTGACTTCCCAATGTTTTTTTGTGGAACTATTTGAGTGTCTTCTTGATGTTTCGTATGTCTAAAACTATATGGTAGGTATCCATGTAGGTTTTGGTGTCTTGAATCGTGCTAAGTGTTCAACATTGTGTTTCGTTGAACCGTGATGAGTTTTGTGTGTTCCTCGGAACTACCTTTGGTTTACCCGTTTCATAAGCATGCCAATTCGGTGTTTAAATGCTAGCGTGTGTGTTGTTTGTACCATCCTTTGGTTGATGATAACTTTTGTTATTCATCGTTGTTGTTGTTGGGATGTGACCCATTCCTTGATTGAGTATGGTTTCATATCTTCATTGTGATCCGTTGATTGATTCCTGTTGAGGTGTGATGTGTGCGTGGCTTTACTTGGATTGCACGATTAGTGGTATGGGACACTAGTTACCAAGGTATTGCAGCGGTCCTCGTGGTGGTCGTGACGTGATTATGGAGTTGTGACCTTTGTGTAAAGTTCACGTGATTCTTGGGTGGCATGTGTTGCCGTGTGTGTGAACAGTACCCTCGTCTACTATGAAATTGGTGGTCTCGTTGGTGGGGGACGACGGTCCCAGGAGGGAAAAGATTGGACTTGGTTGTACAGGGGTCCCGGAGGTAATGGTTGGAAGAAGATACAAGGTTGGGGGTAGCCATAAGGTTGGAACCGGGCATAAGGAAGGCATATCAACTCGTGATGGGTGATGTCGCGAGGGCTTGCGTATCCGTTGTTGTGAGTTCTCTTATTGTGACGTGTGTAGTCACAAAGGCATGTGTTGCCGTTGGGTGAGTCTTATTCCTTTGCAATGTGCTTGTCGGGTTTTTATCTATTGAGTGATGATATATCATGCCTTGACTATTCTTGTGAGTCATGTTGTTCCTTGTGGTCTTGGGATGTGTTCCCGTGTTATCGTTGTGAGTGTTGAGTCTTGTGTTGACTATTACTCGTGGTTTTTGCACTTATACCTATGTATTCCGTTTCGAAAATGGCTTTACAACTTATATCTATCTATGTATGATATTTCACATGTATTGGTGGGTTACCAGCATTATTCGCTGACCGGGCGTCGTCCCATGTTTTATTGTGTTCTTTCAGGTAATGTCTAGGCGAGTGCGCAGTCTAGTGCCTGTTAGCATAGCTCTCCCGTTGGTTTTACGGCCTGTGTGCCGATCTAGTTGTAGACTTTGAGACTTTGGATAGTTGTAAACAATGCAGATATTGTCGTAGCGTTCATCTTTGTTGGTGAACGTGGCATAACACCCCATGACTTGGATTTATGCTTATCCAGTTATCTTTTAGTCTTCCGTTGTGTTTGTTGTTTAGTTGTGTTATCTGCATGTTTTAAGGCTTTTAATTAGCCCGTTTTTAGGGGGTGTTACATATAGAGTTGGACTACCACCTTGTTCGAGAGAAACTCAACAATGGCTTGATCAAGCTATTTCATGTTCCCTCTAAACATCAACTTGCAAATGTTTTTACAAAGACTCACTGCCCTAGTTCTTTTACTGCTTATGTTTCCAAGCTTGGATTGCTAAACTTATACAATCCAGCTTGAGGGGGGCTTTTAGATGGTGTTAGATGAAGCCACGTGTCACCATCTCAACCACCTTGGTGGTTATTTTTCTATTATGCTATACTGTTTTTTTCCCCTCTCTTTCTAGTAGTTCAAATGACCTTGTATATAAGCCAGTGTGATGACACAGTTTTTTGGTTAACAAAAACAGCTCCTTCTTCTTCTTTCTTCTGCTTTTGATCTTCCCATCCATCTCCATCTCTTAATCCGCAACAAAACGAGTTATCGATCCACATGGAAGTGGTTGTATCAAGCACTAGTTAGTAATTTATTCATTAGAGCTAATCCTAACGATTGTTTAGATGATTTTTTCTTTTTTGAAAGTTTGTTTAGATGATTAATTTGCATAAAATAAATAAAATAAGGTTGAGATTCAGGATTTTGAAAACAATTAGAGAGAAGATGAGATTCCTGGGATTCAAGTATTTAATCAACTAGTGTCAAATCTTAAGGACAATATTAAAATCTGGGTTTAACAAGTGTGAGGAAAGGTGGTATAGAGCTACTCTCGTAGTCACTAACACTAGTGAATTCCTAACTACTACTATTTCTCGATGCGCAATAATCAATAATTAAACTCCCTAACAAAATTACCCTTTCTCAAGGTGGAACAGTTAGCTGCAATTGTGTGTGCCCAAAGTTATGTCCAACTCTCGTTGTGACACAAAGAAAGCAAACGAAACAAGTAACTATGGCCACTAATTACAAGCATCAAACAATATTATCACAATTGCAACAAAAGTTTTAAACCCAAATAATAATATATTAAAGAAACTGAGAGCTCAGGCATATAGGTTCATAAACACTTTTACCCAAGAATCTCTAAATAATTTAGTCAAGCATGGCTAAATTATACATAGCAAATATTAATAAAGAAAATACAAATTATCAAAAAAGTACAAGAATGAACTAGACGATTCTCTCGAACCTCCATAGTCTTCTTCTTGCTTCCCAAGACAACTTGTGGCTCTTGATTTCTCTGTCTTGTCTCCAAAGATCTCTGAATTCTGAATAAGGATTGAACCAAGACGGGATTTTATAGCGGGAGTCCAACCGGGGCAAAATCGTAATTCCCTTATTTAATTTTGGAATTTGCCGTCTCTATTTTTATCAATTTGGAGAGTGCTACCTATAATTAATTTTTGAAACAGCACCACCTTTCATCAATTTGGAGATTTGCACCTTAATGATTATTGGAACCCGCGCCCTTTATTTTGGAGAAGAATGCTGCCTCTTATTTGATTTTGGAGTCAGCGCCATTTTGCTTTTGGAATGCAGCGCCTTTATTTTCGTTTAGCGCATTCTCGACGCATCGAGCCCGGATAGTCTCGACCGCGATTGCTTCAGTAAATTTTCGACGCGTCGAGTCCCCTGGGCCTCGAACTTGTCCAAAATTACTTCAAACTCATCCTTGAACTCCCCTTACTTCATAACTTTAACTTACAATGGTTCCAAAAACACTAATAAATACTGTATAACATTCAAAATGAGTGTGAACCACAACTAAATAATAAAATAAAGGATTTATGCAATTAAATTACCAAAATCATGAGCTCAAGCCTAACAAATATAACTAAATCAATACTAAAAATATGCACAATCTCACATCAACTCCCCAACACTTAAGCCTTTGCTTGTCCTCAAGCAAAAACCAAGAAATAAATCACATGTCAAAACATACAAATTACTCATACTCTCTCTTGCACAACCTTTCAAACCACCAACCAACTCACTGCAAAACAACAAGTTTCAAGAATCAAATTAGCTTGGAACATAAGACTCATTCTCAAGCCAATAACCAAACACCAAGAATTTAAAGTATGTGAGGATCAAGTGTGCACAAGTACTCAGTTGAGATTATGCAAGACACGGCTCATGAATGAGATCCCATAGGCTTGCCCTTCATACTCCCTAGATCAATTCTAAGAATGCATGCTAAGATCAAATAGGACTTTATTTAGCTTGTAATGGGGCTACGAGTGATAGGTAACAAAGAAGTGGTATGGAAAAATTAATCAAAAAGAGAGAATGTCACAATTTATCTAAACTTTTCAAAATTTGGAAGAGATGAGATAATCATAATTTCAAGGAGCAAATTTCTTTTAAGAACTTAGCAACTCTTTGGTAAAGTGGAGGTCCAAACTCAAAAACTTTCAATCTTTTTTTTTTTTTTTTTCCTTAGGATTTCTTTTCTTTGGAATTCGTTTGGATTCAGCAAGATAATTTTAATCCAAGCATTCATGACCCCCACACTTGAACATTTGGCACAACTCCATAAAACTCTTCTTACAAAAATAATAAATTAAAGATAAAAGTTTCATTCTCTCAAAGGGTGAAAGTGAAATATTTGGCCAAGGGCTAAGGGTTATAATAACGGGGGTAAATCAAAGAAAAACAAT